TTTTGTCATGGGGGAATATGAAGTGTCGGGGTCCTAGGTGACGGGGAATGGATGGATAAGGCTCAATAGGTGCAGTGAGTGATGGGCCATCCCGGGGAGAACTTCCCTGCAAGCGTGTTGTGCATTGGATTCCTTGGGGACCAAAGAGGAACATATTCTAATGGAAGAGGAAAGGGAAAGGCTCAGTTGTGCAGTAGTGGTGGTATGAAGTCTGGAAACTTGTGAGGTGCAAGGACACAGACAAGGAGGACGGCACACCACTGCTAGCAGTCCTGGAGACATCACTGAGCCCACTGCCTGTCTGTGGTGATGGCAAGACTGATGGCCACAGACAGTAGATGAGGATGGCACAAACCTGCATCCCCCACCTTTAGTTCATCGTGAGAATATTGCAAGCACTTTGCTGCCCAAGCATTTCAGCAGCTCCAGCCACTGGTCTGCTCATAAAGGAGGAAGCCAGAAGCATCAAGGCTGCCATTAAGATCTCAAGCAGAGCACAAAACCAGCAAGGTACTTCATGCCTTGTCATGGCCAGAGCTCAACCTGATGCCACTGCTTCTAGGTGTGCCTTTGACTTGTTGTTACTACCAGGAGCAACGGATCTGGCACAGAGGTCAATGGTGAGAACTCCACACAGACCCTATTGCATGTTTTTGATCAAATTTTTCAGTATCAAAAAAGGAAAACCCAAGCAAAGTGAACATTTCCTCATTCCCTGTCACCTCAGCGAGTCACTCGGAGAGCGGCTGTGACGTAGATTGATGCTACCAACATCACTTTGGCTTCTCTCCCTTGATTCCTCTGAGCTTTAATTTGTTCTTCCATTGCTTTTGCTGTATACCTCTCTCTAAGAACTAAGTGTGGAGAAATTGTAGTGATAACATATGAACTCTAACATGTTCATGGCACTTGGGAAGAGTGCTGCAGAGCTATGCCACATCTGAGGATGAGAGAGACATGGGGGTTGCAGCTGCTTGGCCGACAGGTCTACACAAGACTGTACAGTTGAGCTCTCTGAATGTTGCTCCCTTGGAAGCCACACAAGGATTTAAAAGGTGACTGAAAGCTTTGTGGTCATCACTGGGCATTACAACAGGCATGTACAAGAGCATCAAGTCATCCCTCTGAAGCTCCCCGACAGATGGGCTGGCTGCCCTCAGATTTGACACTCTCTATTTTACGCTGCTCCCACTGGGTGGTGGGAAGAAGTGCAAGGCACTGCAGAGCTGGTTTCCACTGCACAGGACACAGATTCACCATCCAGCTTATGCTAATCTCAATGGGACAGGGATGCTGAAATAGAAGGCAGCTATTTGCTTTGTTTTGCAAGCAAAGTCCTTTTGAAGTTTATTTTACATTACCACCATAACGGTGGGCAGAAGGCGGCGGGGGGGGCTCGCTGGGAAGCACGCCGTCTTTCTCTGTTCACTACAGAAAATACAAAAATCACTGTAGGGCACTTCTACCACCGCATCACAAGACTTGAAAACTGCTCAGTACCGGCTGTCGCTGCCGATGAGGATATTGCTAACAACTCCGCTTGAGGGCAGGCCAGCACCGGCCGTCACTGCTTTTTGCCCGGGAATTGCCTCCTCTGAGCAGTACACAGACTTTTTTCCTCCCTCAGAAGCACACTGGCTGTCACTGCCTGGCATGCACAAATATTTGCTTATAACTTGTTTTATTTCAGCCTCACAAAATAAACCCAGATTTACAAATCAGTTGCAAAGCACTGTCATTCACAAAGCCTTAGCATCACTGTGGACCAGCTCTGAAAAAGCTAGTTAGCTTTTGTTATGCTTCAGATTTAGTTATCATTGGGCTCTTTTCCTCTCTTCCCCAAGCTGAATCTGCAAGCACCTGTGATTTCACCCTTTGAAACAATCTAGAATTTTCTGTGTTGAGGTTCCTAGACCCCCAGCATCAGCATGGGGGGTGGGTTGCTGTTGGGGGTGGTTGCTGGCTGGTTGTTAGCACCAACACCACCAAAACCGTCTGGGGCCACTCAGCACTGGAGGGGTTTTTACAGCTAAAGTCAAGCTTAGAGGCCTTAAGAAGGGTGCAACAGGGAGTTGCAGCAGTGGGATCAGTTACTCAGATTCATGAGCGAGTGAGTAATTTTACAGTCAACAGCAAAGAAAGCAGGATCCTTTTTCTTATTTTTTTTTTTAACCCATGTGTCTCCCTTATACTGCTGATCAGGATACGCACATGTGTAAACATATCGCATGGCATCATGTAACACTTATCAACTCAAGTTCCCATGGTAAACAGAAAGAACATAAATGACTCAAAAGAAGATCCTCCAAGCAAAGCATTGCTTTATTTGTATTTTGAGACCAGAGAAACTGCCTGAGGGCTTAAATCCAGAGAGGAAAGGGTCACACTCACCTGACAGATAATATTGCCCTGGTCTCTTGAAGCAGTGCTGGGTACCACGGAATCAATACTTGGTTTTCTTTGACCTAAGAAGTCAGTGAGAGTTCATCCCAGCTGAAAGGAGCTGTCAGATGAAGGAGCAGCAAGGGCAGTGTTTTGCTGGTGATGGGCAGCACAGGTCGACCAGGAGAATGTTTCTTGCCTTTGGAGGGAGAGCAAGAGATGCGGAGCAGAAGCAGCCCAAAGCTGGCTGAGCATCCCTCACCACCCAGCATGAGAGGAACTGCCTGCGGTTCCCAGCCTTCACCAGGCTGCGTCAGTCACCGTGGAATATTCCAGACCGGGGCATGGCAAACCAGAGCTGGGTCACTCCCACTGCAGCTGGTGAGCCTGCTCTAATACAGCTTCCCAATGGCATCTCAGGTAATGATGTGCAATATCTGCTGAATACTGGTTCTGCATTGCAAGGGGCAAAATCATGTCCTGCACCACCCCACACTGGGAAGAACTAGGGACACTGCTGGTGTTGGTTGATGGGTATGGTTACCCAGAACATGAAAAAAATGGAGATAAACAGTAAAGATACTTTCCATCTGCAATAATGTGATAACTAGACTCTTCTCCCCTGTAATGCCTGCCCTCCTGTACCTATGGGAGCCCATGCAGGCAGCCAGGTTTTGTTGACATTGGGTATCAGGAACAATTTCTTCACCGAAAGGGTTATTGAGCACTGGGACAGCCTGCATAGGGAAGTGGTGGAGTCACCATCCCTGGAGGTATTTAAAAGACGTGTAGATGGGGCACTTAGGGACATGGTTTAGTGGTGGACTTGGCAGTGTTAGGTTTATGGTTGGGCTTGATGATCTTAAGGGTCTTTTCCAACTGAAATGATTCTATAATTCTACTCTATGAAATTGAAGCACTGTGAGGAAATACCGTTCCCATCCACAAGCCAGCAGCTAATGGCAAGGGGCGGTGAATGCTTTCCTCTGCTTTGTGGGAAAGATCGAAGGGTCCCCAGTACAGCCTGAAATCACGAGGCAAAGGTCTCTGGCTGATGTTCCAGTATTTGCTCTTGCCACAAGCAGCGAGACAGCGTTTCATGGCTGAGGACCTCTTCATTCACCAGCTGTTGGTGCTGGAATTACTCAGTGCTGGGCTAAGCGGCGATGCTTGCTGCAGCTATCAGTTGTGGGAGTGTGTTGTAGAGTGTTGCCCAGACGCAAACTTCTTGACTTGAAAACTCACTAGTAAAGCTGAAGGAGAGAAGCTCATTTGGATCACCTCGCTCACGGAGCCGCCAAGGTGTCAGCATTCGCTGGTGGTTAGGTGCAGAAGGATTAAGAGCTAAAGAAAACCCCAGGCCAGCACAGCTAGAAAGCACATGAGTGCCCTTGTGTTCTCCAGAGGCTGTCATCTCCCCCTGTGACCTGCTCACCCAACTGGAGGATGCTCGCTTGGGCTGATTCAGAGATGGCAAAAAGCCTTGGGCTCCTGAATTCACCAAGGCATCCTAAACCTAGAGAGATGGTCTACTGTGATGGTCTGAAGATATTTTAGGCACTTAGCGGCACATAGCCTCGATAAAAAGCAAGCACAGCCTGAATCTGCCTTTTCCAAACCAGCACATGAGAATGAGGGAACATCTGCCTCTGTTGCATTCCTTCTCGCCCCCCCCAACAGTTGCTGGGTTAATGCCACCAGAAGATCCGATGGCTTTTCACTCGTGGCAGGGAAGAAAAGGTAGAGCTCGTGAGTGCAGAGAAGTGACTTGTTGGGGACCTCTTACTCTTGTCTCCAGAGCTCTGTAGCAGAGGGCAGACCTCAGCAGAAGACACAAAGGCAGAAATGATTGTAGACTATGAAGCAATATTGTGCAGCTGGGCCTGCGTGGGGCAAGCAGGCATAGGAGAGGTTAAAACACAAGAGAAAGAAAATCTACAGCAAAGCCCATTCTGGCATGCTGAGAGGTGACTTTGTTACACAGAAAGCCTGAAGGAGGGGTGAGCTCTGAGGAAAGGAGGTGAAACTTGGTTGAGGGAAAGTGAACACAAGTGGAAAAGTCATCCTATAGGACTTCATGTTCTGGTGGATGGACAACGATGCAGGGAAGGAAACAAGGCACCTGGGAGGAAACCTGAGGATCTCAAGAACAGCTCCGGCCTAGGGAGAAGCTCGCCTGGACCAGCCTCCTGCTGTGCAGAAGGGATCAGGGCCAAGGAGGAGGCGGGGGTGGCCGGAGAGATGCCGCAGCCGGCTTTCCGCCTCGGGAGATCCCCCCGCGGCTGCCGTTGCGTGGAAGGGCTTTGGCCACCGGGCTCCACAGGACGAAGGTCCCCAGCCCCCGGGCATCACCCAGCACCATCAGAGCGTGGAGACGAGGCGAGCCCCGCGGGGGAGAGGGGACACCCCCGCCACCCAGACCCCGTGTCCTTAGGGAGACCCTGGTCCGGGCACCGACGGGGCGGGGGGGGGTGACCCACGGAGACCGCAGGGGTCTGGCCCGACGGGGACCCCACGGTCCCGTCCCGCAATCCGGCAGGGCGGGGTAGGGCGGGGCGGGGCGGAGCCTCCAGGGCGCTGCGGCCACGCCCCTCCC